CCTTTTTACCAGAGAGAGAAAGAGAGAGTAAACAACATGTAAAGAGACTTTATAAACTATCAGAGACAGTAAAGAAAAGAAGCTTCAGAAAAGGTAGAGAATAAGGAGATGCTTTATAAGCTGAAATATTTTTCTGTTAAAGCTATGGAGATGGACAATAAGGTCTTGAAAAAAACTCCTTTAATTCATGACAGAGTATATTGGGAGGAATGGAGTGTTCAAAGTGTGGATTTTGAGTAAAAAGTAGAGTAATTGTGATACAGTGAATTGCTGGAACAGAGTGAAGCGAAGATTTGAAGCCTTGGGGGGCAATGAGAAAACTGTTTTCCAGAGAAGCTCACAGAGACAGATGAAGAGAACTTTTGCCTTTGAATAACTCATCCTTAAAATGACATCCCTAGACTCCTCAGACCCATAGACACCTCAGAGTGATGTGAAATGGGAGGAGTGAACTGATGACAGATTCTCAGGCAGCTGGCATCAGAAAAATAGAAAGCTATAACAGAAATAGTTTTCTTGTGAGAAACTCCATAGATTAGCAGAAAGAGACTTCTGTTTCTCTACAAAGACCGATGAAAAGACTCTAGCAGGAATTGGGTCTGTTTTAAACACCAAAGTTCCAAAGCTTTTGTCTCTATGTAGTCACATGTACAAGAGAATGGTTAAGTAGTAAGAGATAAAAGGGTTTTCTGGAAGTTTGTTCTGGTGTTTTTTTGTTCTTGTAGTCTTGTTAATAAACTTTCTTTATTCCTTTTAAGTTTTAAGCCTGTTTTGCAAGTTTTAAGTACGTTTTGCTCTTGTTCTAATCCATATCTCATAGCAAGAAATAAGTAATTTTTTTTAGTTACTGCTTTAAAACCACAACACCACTGAATGGGCTCCAGCTGCAATGGAGGAGTGCAATGGACCCACCAAGAGCACAGTGGGAGAGGCAAAGGCTCTCTCCCATGACACAGTGTCCAAATACTCATCCCTGAGCACTATTTTGGCCCCAGATCCTCTGACTGTCCCCATTCCCCCACCCACCAGCACCCCAGACCCCCTGGCCAGCAAACTGGCCAGTGGTGTGATGTGACCTGACATGTCCCTGTAGACAAGGTGCTTCCAGCAAAGTTGGCTGAAGACTTACCAAATTTTTCAAAACTACTAAAGAAACTCAAAATGATGAAAGATCCATAGATTTCTCCTTCTTTGTTTCTCCAGTACCAGTCCTAATGTTATTTCCCTGAGCAGTGGTATCACTGTCTCTGAAACAGGAACCACCCCCCCCCCCCCTTATTCACCAAACCCAAGAACATTCACACTACCAGGGACAGCCTTTGGTGTCCCATATATATATATACATTTTTAAATTAAAATTATATTTACCATGAAGCTTCCTACCAGGTGCCCTTCACCTGCCTCATGCCCATCACTCTTAGACCAGGCATTACTGGGGTAATTGTTTATTATTACAGAGCCTGAAATTGCCGTGTCTGGATTCAGGTGAACAAATGGGAAAAGCTCAATCTGTCCATTTCACCTCTGCACCATCCTGCAAACAAGGCTGTTTCACATGGAAAATCCTATATGTGTCCCTATTGTGACAGCATGAGGTGCAGTGCAGGACTGAGCAGTGGGATGAAGATGATATTGGAAAATACACTGTGCCTCCTCTAACAGTTAAACCTTTGCTCCCAGACTAAAGAGTGCTCCCAAGAATTTGCAAGTCAACCCACTAATAATTTTCTAATCCTTAAGAAATTGCAATGGGTTCTTTAAGAACAAGAGCATCTGTATGGGTCTCTTTTGGGCTCCAAGCAATCTTAAGAATGAGAAAAATGTCGATGCTCTGCGAGCTGTGTACAGTTCAGATTAATTAAAATCCTGCTCTTCACTGCACGTGAAGAACCAAATTTTACAAATTGCTTAAACAATCCTTCAGGAAATACTGGGTTAGGATGGGCTGAAGTGGGTAGGAAGGCTGCCACCACTCTCACTCCCACCCAACATCCAGCTGCATTCATAGAGCTGAGCAGGGCATGATGATCCAGTGGGTAACACTGGGACCTCTGGCAGAGCTGGACTAAATCCTTCCCTTCCCTGCTCCAAGTGCCCACCGAGGCAATGAGACCAGAGCCCCTTCTGATGGATTTATTATCTGGAAAAAATTATTTAGTACAGAGGGATGATAACACCCTCAGCACACATTTGCTTTGATTTGGGGCAAAATGTTTATTTGGAAAATACTTAAGGAAGTAATACTTAAGGAAGTAATACTTAAGGAGAGTGCCTCTGCCTGCAGGGAAAGGTGCAAAATCCATCCAGAGAGAAAATTAAGCCAGAGAGAAAAATTTGCAACATGACTTTAACCACCACCAAGACCTCATGCCTGAAAATGCCTTTGGACATACTGGCAAGGAGCACCTTCCTATGGGAAACCTCCTGGGGTCCCCACACCAGCTGGGTGGCTTTAGGGGAAGGGGACAGTTTTGCATGGAAGGTTAAATTAAATCTCTTTTCACTCTTGTCATGCTTGCAAAAGCACTATCCCCAGCCCTGCTGCCACACCTCGGTGGCTGCTGTGGCTGCAGAGATAGTGGGGAGGTGAGGTCTCCACTGTCCCTTGTGCCCCGCCAGGCTTAGCAGCAAAGTTAACACCTCTGACCCTTTTTCCTGCTCCCAAACAGTCCATAGAAGATTGAGATACATGACACGCAACAAGCTATTTCCATTAGGAAGGGGAAAATGGGGGTGGGGGGGAAGAAATTAATGCAGAGGCTGCTCTGTTTGCTCTGCAGGCTGTAAATTCTTTCCAGGTCCCTTTTGTGTTCTCTCTTGCCGCACAGCTGACATGGCAGGACCTACACTGAGCAGTGGATAGATGGGAAGTTGATCCAGCACCAAGTCCTGTCGTTGAGACAAGGACCTTGTCCTGCCTGCAGCCATGGCAGGATGGGAGCTGCTGCCTCAATTTCCCTGGAAAGGCATATGTGACCACATAATGCTGCACAGATGGGTCAGCTGGAGGAGATATCCCAGCAAGGAGCCCCAGACCTCCTGCCAAGAGCTCTGCTCCACTTTCTGTCTTTCCCAGAGGTGAGGGTTTCCTCTCATGCAAGCAAGAGTTCCCCAGGGGAATCAATGCTTGTCTGCTGGGCTGGCCCCCACTGAAAGTGTCTTTGGAAACAAGGAACTCTGGGGACTATTCCATCCTGATCCCAGACTCCCAGTGAGGATCCTCTCTGAGCTCCAAACCAGCCCGGTGCTGGGGGATCTTAGATGTAGCACCTCCACTGGCACCATCCCCTGCCCCCTTCATCCATGGGTCCAAACCACGACTGATGCAGGGCAGGAGCAGCTGAAGTGGAGATGGGGAGGAGAAAGAGCTGAGGCAGCACCAGCAAGGCACAAGTGACACAGCTCTGCGGGCTGGCAGCTGCTGAAAGCTGCCTTGTTCCTCACCCATGCCCAGCATGGGGTTGGGCTACCACCATGCTCCCGCCCCACAGCTGGGACAGAGGTGCCTCTGTCCTCTGAATCACCAGACCTGGATCTCACTGACATTTTTTGGGATGAAACAGCCAGAATCATCCTGTAAAGTAGCAAAACCTTGCTGAAATTAAATAACCTCCTTAAAGCCCACAGAAGGAGGAATTCATGGCCCTCAAGTAAATTATGGGGAGATCTAACAGGAATTCATCTGTGGAAAGTCCAGCTGAGACTCTTACCAACAGCAGCAAACCCTGACCGCTCTTCCAAATGCCCCAGGGTACAGCGGTCTCCTTTCTCATTGCTTCCTACTTTCTCCATCTCACAGCCAAGCAGTTTTTCCTCTGATCCCAGAACTGAGCCCTTGCTTGCCATGGGATTGCTGCCCACAGTCATCATGTCCATGACCCCATGTCTGCCCCTTAAGCAAGGCAGCTCAGCCCCAGGCACTGTCAAACTGGAGACAGTGGGGGAGAGGGGAAAGCAAAGGGATAAGGGGAGGTTGGGGCTGGGGATCAGTGTGTTCCTATGCTGCCACTTCCAAATCTGCTTTGGATTTGCTAAATGTTCTCTGATAAAATAGGCCAAGGGCTTGCAGTTGTTATTTTCAGGCAATTAAAAAAGTAGCCAATTTTTCTTTTTTTTGAAAGTTCACGGTTTCATCAATACGGCCAAAATAATTCAAAGACGCCCCAAAAGCAGTTCCTTAGTTCTAAGATAGACTATCTTGGGATAAAAAGGGTCTCAAACGGCAATTTCAGGGGCCGTGCAGAGGAGCCTCCAGTGTCCGGCTCATGGAAGGTTAAAAAAAGATAAAATACAACCCGTTGACTTCATTGTGAGGGGTTACTAGGAAAAAAAAGTTTGCAAATACCCACTCGGGCACCGATCCCGGGAGACACTTTTTCATAAGATTAACACGTCGGGAGTGTGGAGAGGGTCAAGATGGGAGAGGGCGGCAAGTTCCAACAAACCCCTCCGGCCCCTTCCCGACCTCTCGCTCCGCGAACTGCCCTCCCCGGAGAGACAAAGGGCCGGAGCGGGGCTGCGGAGCGCAGAGGGCCGGCGGCCGCCCCCCCGGCCCTGGCCCCCCCTCCGCGGCTGGGGAAGCGTTTCCGCCGGCCTTGGCCGGCGCTGCGTGGCCACTTGGCGCGGCGAGTTGAGTGATAAAAGGGAGTGAAAACGCGGCGGAACGGGAAGAAAACACGGCGCGACCAAGCTGGAGAAAACAAAATGCTTTAGAAGGCACCGCGACCCGAGAGGGAGGGAGCAAAACAAACCGTAGTAAAAGCAAATAAAACACTCCCCGAGGAAATAAGCCACAGCGATGTAATCCGCGTTAGAGCGAGCCGGCCTCCCCCCACCCTGCGCGCCCCAACCGGGGTCCCGCCGCCCCCTCCCCGGGAAGCCTGGCTAGGGGGGTCCCCCAGCCCTGGTTTGGCTCCTCGATGTGGTTTGGCTCCTCGCCCCCCCTTCTCCCTCCGACAAGAAAACTCGGAAAAGTGGAGGGAGGGAAAGCGCGGTCCCACCTGGGTGCGCAGCGCCGAGCACCAGCTGGAGCCCGAGGAGGCAGCACAGGGGGCCGCGGAGGGGGGGGCACAGGGGGGAGCAGACGAGCCGCGGTCCCGCTGAGCCGCGTCCCATCCCCGGCGCTGCCCGCTCCGCTCCGCTCGGGCCCCTCCTGCCGCTCCTGCCGGGCCCGGGTGGGGGGAGGGGGGGGGGAGAGAAGGGGGAGGAGGAGGGGGAGGAGGAGGAGGAGGAGGAGGGACGAGAGCGGGAGGGGGAGGGAAAGAAGGGGGGGAAAAAATGTTACAAAATAAGAAAAAACTCGAAGCGTGCGCGCCGGGTTCAGACACTGCGTCAGCAGATAGGGGCCCGGCCCAGCGGCGGCGAGAGAGCGGGGCGCGGCCCGAGCCTGGGGGGGCTCCGCCCGCTGCAGCGCATCGCTGGGGCAGGGGGTCCGGGGGTGAAGCGGGGGAGTGGCAGAAGCGAAGCCCAGCCTGGCCAGGGCATCCCTGCAGAAGTCGGGAGATGGCTGGCTCCCCCAGCAGAGTACCCCACGCAGTCCTCTCCACACCACGGGTGGTCGCGATGCCCCGGTACGGGCCGGAGGGTGTGGGGGTGATGCCCGCGGTGCCGCCAGTCCCGCGTCGGGTCTCGCTGCGGGTCCTCAGCCTGGGATCCCACCTCGTCGGGGAGAGCAGCCAGTGGCTGCCGTGAGCTCCCACCACACATCGTTGCTTGCTGCACCTCTGGGTGCCCGGCAAAGTTATCTCATCCCAAGCACAGCCAGCCCAGCTGGATTCTTCTCTATCGACCCCTGTGGCACGGAGCTGGGCAACTCCCAGTCCGACTGTGGATGCTGAAGTTGGACACGGCTCACTGCACCTTCCGTTACAAGCCCAGTCCCTCCAGCCGTGGGGTGCTGGTGCAGCTCTGGTGCTCTGCCGAGAGCATGGGACAAAGAACATCCACAATATCCAGTGTAGGTATATCCCACATCCAGGATCTGAACACAAAAGGCTTTTAAAAACTTCTAAAGAACTTTTAAATCTTTATTTTCACACCTCCACTCCAGCAGGACTGCCTATGGCCCCAAAAGCCATCCAAAGAAGGCAGAATACATGGAAAACACTGGAAGTTTGCATATTCCTGGCTTTCTATATCCATTTGGTGCATTTGGGTGATGCTCATGGTGCCCATTCTTGTGGGAGCATCCCTGAGGGTCTGGAAGCCTCACCTCATCGCGCTCTTCTGGGATTTGAGCAGTTCAAAGTCAGACAGTCAGTCCTTGACACACAGACTCTGCCATACAAATTATGAGGTGATGATGAGACCAAGCTGATGGCAGAGCTCCCTTGAGCAGGGAGCAGGATCTGGCCCCAAGATGGCACAAAAACCTGAGGGGTTGAGGAACAGGTGTGAGCCAGCCACAGTTTGGCTGTTCTTCAGAAAATAAAGGAATCCATTGTTTCCCAGTGAGGCAAGAAGGGCCTTCAGGCTGGTGCCAGGATGGACTTCGGGGATGCAAACCCTCTGGTGGGGCTAATTAAGCACATCAGCATCTGGTCTATTGTTTTTTTTTAAAGCAGGAATTATTTTTTAATTGCAGCAGCACTGAGAGAAAGGCCTTGCTGGCCTCCATGGCTGCTACACGAAACAAGCCCAGAGGAGAGGAAGGAATCATCCGGATCCTTGTTCCTATTCTGAAAACTTGGAGACTTGGAACTCCAGGGGGATGTCACCCACTGGGACACCAGTGGCTGGACATGATGGGGCTGTGAAGTCCTGTGAATGGGATCCTCCACCCATCCCAGACAAACCTGACATCCCTTTCAAGGAAGTTGAACCCATCCGAAAGAAGGAACATAGCAGAGTCAAAAGGCTTTGGATCCCATGGAGCATTGCCACTTCCTGGCCTGGTTCACCCTGTGTTTTGGAGGCCCCTATGCTGCATGTGATTAGCAGATAAATAGGACTTCTTAATTAATTTCTTCAACACAAGCCAACAACTCCTTACCTACTCTCATCCTAATCTGGTTTAGTACCAGTTGAGTTGCTACTTGACAGAGTGGATCAGGAGGAAATGTATTTTTCCTTTGGGACATTTCCAGGCTGTCTGACCCCTCTGGCCTTAATGAGTTGCTGCCAGACAAGGAGAAGGGTACATAGCTTTGTGCAGGGGACAGCCAACTGCACCTCTGGCCACAATCTCAGGAGAGCTCCTTGCCTGGGGAGATTGGCTAGGAGCAATGGGTTTATCCCAGGATTACCCAGAACGTGGGATATTCAGTGTCAGTAGCTGATTCCCACAGTTGAAGCATCCGTATCTGTCATTTAATTGGAAAAATAAATTCTGGGTTTTGGCCAAAGCAACGTCCCATGTAGGGAGTGGTCACAGTGGAGGGACTGCAGTGAGATGGGGTGAAACAGCATTGGCAAGAGTGAAAGTCATCCTGCAGAAAGTTTGCAGGATTTCTGGAGATATATCCAAACCACTCGCCCACCTTTGGCTGGAGGTCTGACCTGGTCAGGAACACTTGGGAGAAAACAGGTCAGTCAGGATGCTCAGCAGGTTGCAAAATATGTCACCAACATGGAGTGGGACCCAACCATAGGGGTGGGGGAGAAACCCCATATTTGGAGCTGGGGTGCTCAGTGGCAGTGAGTCACCCCATGACTTACAAAGTTTGGGGCTGTCATGGGACATGTTTGATGTTTGCTTGTACCAGAGGCATTAGAGGAAATTATTTGGGGACCTGTGGACAGCATCTGTAGCCTTCAGATTTTCTGAAGGAAGGGTCTGGCCACTTCTAAGGACTGGCAGGTTCTAAGGGTCTATTTACTGTATGAGCGGGAAGGCAGCATATCCTACTCTGTTGTGCCCTTCTAAGGGTATTCCCCCCAGCCCATGGCTCTCTGCAGGACTGAGGGCTCCAGAAGAGCAAAGCCCTACCTGTGGGCAGCAACTGTCGGGGGACTCTGGTGTCAGGGGCTTTGCTTTGCTGGGGACCAGCAGCACCTGCCAGGTTCTGCCAAGAGCTCAGCGCTGCCTCGGCCTTACCTTGGCCCCAAATAGGACTGGTCTGGCCAAGATCAACACCCACCTGGCAGACGCTGTGCACTGAGGTCACTGCTTGGGGAAGAGGCCGTCTTGGTGTCTTCCTGGCTCCTTCTCCCTCGTGCTGGCAGCAACAGCAGCAGGAGGGAATGGCCACGTTGCTCTCTCTGTTGGAGACAGGCAGGAACAGCCAGTCCAGCTCCCTCTCCAAGCTTCAGGCTTTGCACTGCAGGCAGCGAGGGTGATTGGTATACTCTTGCTGGGATGTGGGGTTTGGTGGGGAACCCCATGGGGGTACAGCAAGGGACTCATCCCCGAGCTTTGCATTTGCACCCTTCCCTTAGGGTACAAGCCTGGGGACACTGTGTGGGGGTTCAGCTCCTCCACAGCCCCAGGCATGTTGTTTGTCATTGAGCATCCCCCATTCTAATGCTCCTAAGGGTTTTATTTTCTCATTAGGGTTCAACACCACGAGGGCAGTCTTGGTGCTGGTAGCTGAGGCTCCACCAAGCAGGGGGTGTCAGGGAGGCACCTCCCGTTTGGTTCCCGTACTCCTCCCCCAGGAGCTGAAATACGTTGTCAGCTCTGCTCAACACTCAGTTGCGGGTAGAGGGATCTTGGCCAAAATGAAGGGCCCTTTCCCTGCCTCCAGCAAACGTGCTTGGTCAGCTCCATTCCCTGCGACCTCCTTCCCAGCTTCGCAGTCTCCCAGCACTGCAAAGGGGGTCCCTTTGTGGGTGCCGCACATGGCAGCTCTCAGAGCTCTTTGCTGCTCTGTCTTCCGCAGCACTGAAAAGTCAGGGAAGTTCAAGCTGCAAATAATTTATTAAAACCAGATGTGCTTGCTTGGAACTGCCATGAGGAATTTCAGGGCGCTCCAGCCTTGTGAGGGCCAGCGCCAATATCCTGGCCTTCCGTTGCGGGGGCGAGACAGGGCTGGGGGCTGCCCAAGAAGTGCTGCCTTCTGAGCCTGTTGCCACTCCTTCCTGCCTGGCTTCCCCTGGAGGGCTCCTGGAGAGGGGCTGAGAGGGAATTCCAGCCATTTACAAGAAATTCACCTTTTAGAAAAACACTTTCTCTGCATGACTCAAGAGCAAATTGGCGAGCAGTGGGGAGGGAAAGCAGCTGGAGAATGGTGGAGGACAGCACACCCTGAATGGCACCTTCCTCCTGCCGGAAGTGGATATGAGACCACAGAGCAGAGATCTCACCCTGTTCCCTGGCCCTTGCCATAAAGACCAGTAGGGTCCAATTGGCCCCAAGCACTTCATTTCCACCTTTGCCACTGCCTTACCTCATAGCCATGGGCATGTCCCCTTCCACTTCCATCCCTCACCAGTTCCTTTAGCCTGGAGGGGTTTTGGGATCAATCCCAGCCAGCCTCCTGGGTTTGGGCACGAGTGTGTGGATTTTCAGAATTAGCGGGAGCTGCGATGAGCCAATGCTGAACAAAGCAGGTTTGGAGTGCTGATCCTGATGTGGAGCTGAGCCAAGAGCAAGGCAGTTGCCAACAGGGCTGTGTGTGCTCGTGGCTTCCACACAGCCAGCGCCTTCAGTCGGGAGAGGACAGGGCTGAGCAGAGCTCTGGATTTTTTCTTCCCCTGAATGCAAAGCAGAGCCAATCACCTTATAACTTTGCTGCTGGCATTCCCCAGGGCAGCCCAGGTGGGAATGGGAGATCTGGCCTGAACATGAGGCTGAATCTCCCTGTTGCTGCTCAAAACATCCTTGCATTTTTACCTTCATTCCTGCGTTTTTATTTCCGTCCTTGTACTTTAATTCCATTTGGACCATGGCACTGCTCTGCACCATCCCTGCAGCCCAAGCAACAGAGGATGGGAAAGCAGCTCCTGGCCAGGGCTGCCTGGGAGCTGGTGAGGCTCATCCCACACTGGTGGGGCAGAGGTGGATAACCTCTATTTTCAGGCTTTCTGAATCAGCTTGAAGCACTTGAGCCTCCCTTCAGTGAATGTGTTTGGAAATGAGTAGCAACAGAGTGAGCAAAACACAATCTGCAGGTGAAGGTGGAAGAAGAAAGACTACAGTAACCCATCCCAGGAGATACAGGCTGGGAGCACAGAGGAGCAGGGAAGAGCACATGGAGCTGGTGGCAGCAT